AAATCTTTTTCTGATTCAGGCGGGATCCTGAAAATTTGTTCAGCACACCATGATGTTGATAGCACAATTTTGACTCCGTTTAAACTTCCTTAAGAGGATGATCCGTCGAAGAGACAGCCTGTAATTTTGACAAGGTTCGACGTCGAACAGGCATCATTAATTTCTGCGTAACGATTCGCAGGGTGGCGCAACGTAAAGCTATTGTTAGCGGACAGATGCTTTCGGATGGGGCCGGTGGTGCATTGCAATTCACCTTGGTCGTTCGTGCTTGAATGCGCCGTCATTATAGACGCGTAATGACCGCATTGTAACGCCGTCAAACTTCTTATCCGTTTTATTCGAGCAACGTTGTCGATCCGTGACCTCGTGAAAAAAGATTTTCCAAAATTCCACGAAATTCCTGAACTACAACGTTTCGTTGCACCTGTTCGATCAATTATTAACAATCGGTGAATCTTTATAGATCTTTAATAAGCTCAAGATCTATTAATAGACTTTCGTTGGTAAGCGTGAAATTAGACTCGAAATTAGACGAATAAATCTTCAAGCCATTATATAATTAAATTAAGGTTTCTCATTTAAGACGCGGCGGATTTCAAAGACTTTCCATTTTAGACAGGTGAAAAGCTCGTGGAATCGGGACCCGGTGTCGTTTTCCTTTCTCTGTTGACGCGATGAGCTAACAAGTAGCCATTGTTGAGCTCCGTGTCAAGATGCTACTTGACGGTGTACTCATAAATGGACCCTGTTCACAGAGTTTTCGCCCTTCATGGCTCTTCAGGTCTGTATAGACCCCAGTGATACTCGAGGCACGTTTTTGCTTTTTCTGGATTAACGTTCCATTACACGATGCATGGAACTTTTTATGTTAATTTTGGAACAATAACAGTACCGATACTGATATTAATGTTAATTAGAGATGATGATATTGGTACTAATGGTTAGGGGCGTTTGTACTATTATCAATATTAATATCAATACTACAATATCATTAATCTAATACTAATTAGTAATACTAATGGACACTACTGCTGCAGATACTAAACTCTGTAGCCTATAGTACTACCTTCTACAACTATAACACTTTCAAATGATTTTCTATAATATTTAAAATATTTTGCCTGGGTGATCTAGTATCTGTTATTAATACTCTAATTTTTTATTGCGTACCTTTGATGAATAATGTGCGTAGGACACAGCCAAAAGGGAAGCGTACACCTACACATTGAGAAGGAACGTCGAGGCACGGTGGTACCTCTGTGGGGTCCAGGCTTAACTTTACGATCTCTTGAAATCCCTTCGGGGCTTATGGTCCCACTACGAGGCTAATAGAACCGAAATTATAACAGGCCGATGAGCATGCGTCGACTGCTCTTATTCCGGCCGGCTGACGGATCGAGGAGGAAACATCTAGGGAGAAAAAGGATGGAGTGAAATCGGGAACACTCGAGTGCTCGGCAGTCCCAGGGAGCCGATTAAAGGATCTTTGGATACTTTTTAGGTTCTTCTAAAACCATCTCCTCTACTAGGAAGCCCGAGAGTTAAGCATGATCCGGGAGAAAAGGTATCTGAAAGAATGGTAGATTTGATAGACTCGAAACTCTTGAAATATTAATAATTCTTGTGTCATTATTAATCGTCAAGAAACCGGTAATGATATCGGGAAATTCTTACAAAATTGTTATTTCTTCTTTTATATGCTTTAAATATATACCTTTTACTTTCTCTCCTTTGTTGCTGTTTTTACCGTCAATCTCGACGGATTCCTAGAAGCTTGGATGGACAGATCAAACGGGAGGACCTAGTTGAGAGCACAAAGAAATCGGGCCACGTGGAAGCAGCAGCCAGATGCTCTTTTTCAGGATCGAAGAAGCCGATCCCAAAGATAGACGAAGGTCCCCGTCGAACAATGTTCCACAGGCAAATATCGGGACAAAGGGCAGACCGACGTTATCTGTCATCGGCGATCGCTGATACAACTAATAGACCGATGGCTCGTTTTGAAATAATTACTATCGCGTATCGTTTAGAGATCTTTTTCAGCTGTTTTGCAGGTAGTAAACAGGGCTCTCTTTCTTCTTTCTTTTCTTCTTCTTCAAAAATAAAGATGCCATCTTCTTCTCTTCTTTTTGTTAAAAATATAAATTTTTTAATTTCAATACTCTCTATTTGTCAGTTTCTAATAGTTTAAGGACAACAGTATTGAAATTGGTATAATTTCTGATAATAGAATACAATGACCTAGCATTTGCTGTCTGACGATTCAAATTTACATAAAGTACATTTATAGACAGAAGATTTGTTAAAATTTATGATTTATAAAATCTAATGAAACCAATAGAATGTCTTAGTAGCCTGTGATCAAATGACCAGCCGTACAGAATGATTTATTGATAGAGAATTTATACCAGACGCAAAATTAATCGAGTCTAGTATAACTATCTTGATTGAAATAGTAAGAAGACCGAGTCTAACTTATTCGATCACAGAAACATTAAACCATCAGAGATTTATGAGATTTATAGGAAAACTTGGATGCAGTAAACTTCTATTTATACGTATAAAAATATGAGGCGTTAAATCTTAAACTACATTAGACCAAGCATCTAAAGATACCACTAAGCACCCTATCTTCGAACTTGGGTGCTTGTAAGTGTCTATAACCCCCCTGAGTAGACTTCAGGAGAATTTATAAGTGACAGTAGCAATGAAAGAGATAATATACGCGTTTCTCGTTTTACACAGATATTCGACGATTAATAGCTTGGTTCGCTGAGTTTAGGATTAAGTTCAATTGGAGAAAAATTCAAATTTCAAAAATTCTAAAATGCTAAAATTTCAAAATTTCTAGAACTCATAATCCTGCTTATACTAATGGGTACAGAGTCAAGATTAACCCAGCTATTCAAGGGTTAACAATAATTAAATAACGTAATCCATAAACGAAAAGGATACATGATTTTTGCAGGATATCGTGCAAGGATGTTCCACTTGGACGTGTATATAATATTTTCCTTTTATTACTTTAAATAACATCAACTTTACTTCGGTTACAGTTCGATCGTACATCGTGTGATCTTTCTTAATTATCTATCTCGTGCCTCTCCTTCCATATTTTCTCAATTATACTCTCTTTTTCTCACTCTCACACATTAAATTCTCTCTCTTTCTCAAACGATTTTCTGTTTCGTCTTTTTTAGTTAGTTGTGCAACGTTTAAAAGCTTGCCTGTTAAAATACACAAACGACAAGAATTGTGTTGGGAAGAAGTGTCTGGTTATTAATAATCGTCCTCGTAAAACGTGTTCACCGGTTCGAAATGGTACACACAATGTGTCCCTAGCTTCGTCTACGGCTATTTATGCGTGTCTCTCGTTTTAATGATCCTCCTTTATGTCTCTCTGTAACTTTCTTTTTCATTTGTAAATCATCTGTTCGTTATTGTATAAAAATTTGTGCAACGATCGTGCTTGGACGAGTATTCTTAGCCAAGAAAAATTCATATATTTTCATTTTTTAAATTAATATGCGAAGCTTCAGTTTCTTCTCTCACTGTATGGAGAAAGCTACTGTGAAATTCTTCAAACATGATCAGATCACTGAATCATTCGTGACGTCATTAAAAACTTGATCAGATTTCAAAGAGGAATCTCTGATAAAATCATTAAAAAAAAAAAAAAGAAAACAAAATGGAAATAAAATTGCTTTGTCTTTTAACGAAGATTGATAAAAATAGATAAAAACAAAAATTGTGATTTTCTAAATGATATACAGGGTGTCCTCAAACAACTGATACGATAAAAATAAATTGTTAAACATCTTGATTATCAGATTGTTAATTTAAAATTGCAAATATTCAAACTAACTTTTTAGAAGAAATAAAGCGTCATTTGAATAAATTTTACATTTGCGATTGAAATCTGTATCAATAGTCATGGAATGCCCTGTATCATGAAAAATAAAAATAAAAAAATATTAAATCATGATCGGATATACTGAATCTAATTTTTGTTCTCAACGCTGCGACTGAATGTAATAATAATAAACTGCAGCTTATTTATTCGCGTCGTTTAAACAAACGTTTCCTGTGGTTGGCGAAACTTCCGCCTTTAATCCCCGTATGCGTGTGCAATTTTCGGAATGTATTCGCGATTGGTGTGCAGTCCGATCACGAAGGAGTGTGTTACACACTGTGCCGTTACAAAGCGTAGATTGTGCGTGAATGGAGAAACGTTCTGACTGCTCGATGAATTTATAGAAATCTCGAGGAAAACGCAACACAGAGATTGAAAAATTCGATCGCTGTTTCTTGAAATATTATAAAACAACTTTAGCTTTGTTGAATATCAACCTGAATAAAAGTGACGATAAAAAATAGGATCCATTTTGCGATAGATTCCAATTGGATGATACATTTTTCCAATTTTCTATTTTCTATTGTTTGAAATCAATGGGCCCAAAAATAAAACAAATGAATTTAAAAGATGATAATCTTTGGAAATCAATTGCTATTTTCCTTCGAAATTCGGTGATGTTAACCCGTTAACTACCTCGAATTTTATGTAATTAATAAAAGCGGAGGCCAAGTTTGAATAGTGAATATTAATCGTAGATCAATCGTATACTTAATAAGCAATCACAGTGATTTGGCATCAAAAATTTACCAATTATCCAATGGAATAAAAATGAAATTCCAATTAGCATTAATATCAGTATTAATTTAACGAGGTGCCAAGTGAAGAGTTAACGTGTTAATGATAAAAAGAAAATGCGAATTTCTACACGATACAAAAGAACTTGTATTATAATCTCTATCTCGTTATTCGCTCGTTTCCTCTTGCATACCCTGTTTCGTCCCGAGGACTCATTCTAAAGAGAAATATCCTTTCCCTCCTCAGCGATCCCTAGATAAGAATCTTTAGAAGGCAATGTCGCAACCGATTCAATAATACATTAATTCCGGACATCTGCGCGATAGATGTCCCTTAAATAGAGAACCGATAAAAAAAAAAAAAGAAAAAAGAAAAAAAGTACTCTTACTTTTCTCACCCTCTTGTCGCTTTGTCACCTGTACGATGCCGTTTTCTCTCTCTCCTATCTGTCTCACCCCTTTCTCACTTTTCTTTCATTCTCTCAGTCGTTCTTCGTGCCTCTTGCTCCATCATCATCGTCATCATCATCTCCTCTCTCGCTCTCCTCTCGCTGTTCATTTTTATGTACAGACTACGAACTGCGAATAAATGATAACTTACGTACTAACTTATTCTCTACCGACAGTGTTTATTTATTTTTAATATACCAGGTGTACGAGAAATTTGCCAGAATAGTTCGCGAATTTCCTGACGTTTTCATTAAGTATTTCCGTTGGTGAGGTCGACTGTGCAAGAGTTCGTAGAAATGGTTGGGAAAACTTTCACGTGTTGAATATCATTGGGGTTCGAAAATTAGGGGTACCCGAATAAATTTATTTCCTGGACGAACTTTGGTGGGGTTCCATTCGACTCGATTACTATCTGATTTAAGAATCGGGTACCCGCAAATCTCTATTGAAAATTAAAGCGACGATCAACGTGCTAAATTTCCAATGACGTATATATACGTCCTTCATAGTGGAAGGGTTAATGAAGAGATAAAAAATCAACAGCTACCTTCCTCTATCTCTTCTTCAACAGAAGAGCACGTATGAGGAACTCTTGAACAGTCCCGGACCAACGGTTAGATCTCAAATTGATAGAAACGGGAGATAGAAACGAGACGGACAAGCTTGAAAGCCATAAATAAGGAGCGTTTTCTTTTTTCGTAAGAGATAGAGAACGAAAATCGCGATTCGCGAACTTGATTCGCGAACACCCGGTACTCGTCTCGAGTAGAGACGAGAATTAACTTAATCTTCTCTCGAATACGTGTACGTGTGTGATAGGTGTAAGTGTTGTTATGCGTGTATATTATCTACATATGTACACAGGACAAACACAGAAGCGTACGGTGTAAAGGAAGGGAAAGGGAATAGTGTAGTGTGTGAGGAGCGTGTGTGGTTCGTTATAGCGACGTTAATTAATTAGCGGCTGGCTGAGATCCGTACACGCCTCAGGAATTATTCTGGACTTTGGGAAACGAATGTTCTTTAGGGACCATCGACGTCTGCCGTGTTTTTATCTTTCTCTTTACGGTCAAATGCCGGGACGTTATATTTTGAAACTTGATTCTGAAATTCAACCTCTGCAAGCTTAAAATGACTATAACCAATTTAAGTACTTTTAATCATAATTAAGTACAGTTTCGTTGCTATAGCGGAAAGTGTTAAGAAAAACATTACGAGCCAAACTTTTCAATTGCGCTGTAATTGCTTGACTAATCAATCATGTGTTCCGAGAAACTTGGCCGAAAGCAGAGCTCGTTAATTTTCACTGTTTCGAACGGACGTTTGAAAACACAGCATTCGAAGGGGTCAAGGAAAATTGGCAGCTTGCTGAAGCTTGTACGGAGTCTGAACCGTCTACTGGTAACCGTAAATAACGTTATGCTCGTGTTCTTATTCAAAGGGACCTAAGGTAGAGGCGGTACGCTACGAGATTAGAAGTACGGAGCGATTCGCGAGAAAAAAGAAAAAGAAAAGAAAAGAATATAGTCACAACCCTGCCATAGGGGTTGCGTTTCTGGAAGTAATTAGGCTCTGGCTTGTCTCGCGCGCTACGCGATACGGGAAAAGAAAAATGCTAATATGTCTTTTGCTATTTTCACCCGGAAGCGTTTCCCCCGTTGCCTCGATTTTCCTCTCGTTCCACGGCTACTATTAATTAATAATAATAATATTCTACTATGAGCTCCCTCCGTCGGGAGAACTGGTGCGGGTGCGCCATGTCTGCGTTAACAACGGCGTGCTTGCTTCTCGGTTACTTCAAAGTCGAGGCATCGCGTGATCCTATTAATTAAAGATACTTCGATGTCTATAGTGAAATTTTTCATAATAAGCAACTGATTAACACGTTTAACCAGGAACATTTCTCAAGACTACCTCAGAATCTCTGCAGATTCAGCTCGACGTCTTAAGACATCATCCGGATTGAACGTATCAAGTGACCTGTTTCAATCAAATCACACGATGCCTTCAGACTTCAAAACTGTCCTATTTACCATCGAGAATGTCTCGACGAATTATTCTCCGCCTCGAAAGCGACAGAGAACGCGTTTCCTAATTACCTACATTCGCCGAGCGCGGATAATGTACCCAACACGCATTCCGGACAAAATCTAGTGTCTGTCATTTCGTTAAAGCTTAGCGACTCGGCGAATATCACGGGAACAATTCCGTTGGCAGACCCTTTTACGAATCGAAACGAGTTAGGTTTTCTCTTGGTTCCTTTTGCCCTGACTGCTCGGGGCCCAAGGTCACAACGAGTGATAATCACCCAGGACGAGACCGCTGTGATAACTACCGTGCGACGTAGACATCCCCATGGAACCCATGCCTTGGTAGGCACCCATGCCCATGCCGTTCATCGACATCGTGTTCATAGTGTTCACGCCCTGCATCGTGTTAGGTAGCATCGTCGACGGGCCCATCGGGCTAAGCCCACCCATGGAAGGTGCTATAGCACCCATCTGCATCGACGTGGCCGTGTGCGGAAGGGACTTCTGCAGATCCGCCGAGGTCGGGGTGATCAGATAATCCTGGAACAGGAAATCGAACCATCCTTCGCTAGCGTATCATACTAGGACGTACCGGGTACAGTAATCTTCCAAGTGTAATAAGTATCTCGACTTTTCGTTAACACCTTATGGATTGTCAATGATTGTAATTACTGATCCCTAATTTTATCCCCTACCCTGCTTATGGCCAACGGTCAGCGAAACGTCGCGATACTTACAGCCTTTCTGGACACAGTTTACACCTGGAAGTTTCTATTATATTAATGATAAGTAAGAGAAACAGAGTTATATAGTTATGTATTAGGTGTGCGTTTTCAGATAAGCAAAAGGAAAAGCAAATGATAGAATGAGAGATGGTTATTCGTTAGTTAAGAATCAAGGATTTGAATTAGCAAATTGAACAGCAAATTAATGACATGGGGGAATTAAAATGTTCCAATATTGTTTCTTGATGGTCTACCTGAAACTTTCTGTATTACATCTTCGATCTATCATTCTCCTTTTACAACGATGCAATTACACGATTGTCATTGATAAAACACGAATCTATCTGAACTGTATTTAAAAAATCTAGACACAATGTATAAACATAACTTTTCTCCTTACAATAACCAATAAACACTGCAACAAATGCTATGATAAAATTACAAAAGAAAAAAGAAAATATTCTTCAAAGACTATAATCATCACTATCCGAAAACTGCACCCATTCAAATACACTTGTTTGTCCAGCATCTAAGAAATCAAAGTCCCTCCACCTCTAATGTAACCCTCTGTGTCCCGAAGGAAACCGCACAAACAGTTCACACTATACCTGTGGACTATAGTACTGCATATAGTCCAACTGGGTCTTCTGTTGGGCGCAGCTCGGTGGTGGCGGTGGCAAGGTCGCCGTGGGATGTACCAAGCCGTGGGGAGTACCATGAGCACCGACCTGGAGATGATGTTGCAGCTGATGATGAAGGTTTCGCTTGTCGTCGCCGCTCTCGCTGCCTGTGTCGTGGTGTTGCATGTGGTGGGTGGGTGTGTGAGGATGGCTCAAGGTCGAGCCGTGACCTTGGTGGTACGAGTGCGGGCTGGAAACGGAAACCGGAGGCGGAAGCTGGTACATGCCGGGCGTCTGCTGGTGCTCCACCAACTGTTGCTGCTGTTGCTGTTGTTGAACGGCGCAAGACGAAGGTTGCTGTTGCTGTTGTTGGCTGACCGCCTGTCTCTTCGTCTCGTCGCCGCTCTCGCTGCTCGAATCACCCAGTCCACCGACGTGGGTTTTGTCTTCTCTTTGGCCACTGAAACAAAATAGAAACAAGGTTATTACGTACAACAATCCTCGACCTCTTATCTTCCTTCTACTATTCCTCGTCGAGGCGTATTCTTATGCAAACTTGAACGCTATAAGTGTGGGGGAACGAGCAGTCCAGGTGGCTGCATTCCAATTAGGATCCTATCCTAGGACTCGGTGCTTTCGCGAGCCATGCACACGTTCGAACGAGATTACTGGCGCGAGCTACCCGGTCTAATATAATTACAGACGAAACAGCCGTGCTGGTGATCGGCAGTGACTCGAAGCGGAAGAGGATAGGGCCGGAGAATAATATCGTGTAAGATAATACCCGCGTCGATGCGTAAACTACCATGGAAGAGGGTACTCTGCTTCCCTCGGGTACTTGTGAATTAAGGGTAGTCGTGCTGCGACCTGGGAGGAGGAGGGTAGGTACAAGTTAAAAAAAACGACGAAAGAATAGGAATATGTTGTATAAAGCGAGAGCAGAGGAAGGGGAGAGACACCACTGGACGTCTCGTAAACTCGATTTAGCAGGCTGGACCTCCTCGAAGCCGAAGCACGTGGGACCTGAACGGTCTCTAACTTCTATCTCTCTCTCTCCCTTTCTCCCTCTCACAGTCCCACCTCTTCCACACTCTCTATATCCAGGTACGAGCAATCGTTAAGCGCTTGTTTTACAAGTCGTTTAGACGTGACCGCCGCGATACGGCACTGTCTCCGCCGCAAGTGCCAGGACACTTGTCTACGGGGTGTTTTCGAGAACCGGTCCACCATCGAGGGGCTACCGAGCTGATAACAGAAAGGGCCTACTGCTTTTCTTCTTTCCGTCCACCTTGATACGGTAAAAATCTTGACACTGGAACTACCTTATACACTATAAAACCCCGTTTGAGGTAGAGATGCCAGAGAATTTTCGAAGATCCAATCGTCCGAAAGACCATAAGACTATCCTATCCGAAAGGATCTCTAGGAGATCGCGAAACGAACGTTACCAAAATCACATTAAGCAGCAAGACTAAAGGCTCTCGTGAAAGAAAAAAAGATTCATCGAGGGAAAGATAGCCTGGCCTTTTGTCCAGTGCCTAGAAGGGGCAGCGATAAATCCGTTCGGCAGGTGAAAATCTGGTCGTTCGTTTAGCCCGGTTGCAGAGGTGGTGCACGGTCTCGTCGCCCGGGGACAAGAAAGAATTATTTCTACAAGACGCGATGCAACAGATCCCACACGCGGTGGGACAACGTTCGTTCCACGGCAAGGACAAGAGGATCGGCTTGTTTCCACCGGTACTTTCCGCGCCACCCGTTGCATGCCTGGGTCTATAACCCCGACGAGGTGTCCCCAGGTATGCCTTATCCGAGGCAAGATCGCGCAGTAAATTTATCCGCGTTGCGCGACGCTCCACCACCACCAGAACGGAATCTTTCGGGCATTATTATTTTCATTAGGATTTGTGACTCATCGCGCGGAGGAGACATTTATTCGGTGGACTCGTTCGCCACGACACCTACTACACACTCCATCGGGTTCGCCTCTATTTCATCTTTTTCTTCATCCACCACCTCGTGTTGGAACAGCGATGGATCGCTGTTTTTCCATTCCGAAATGGTCCCAAAACGCGGCGCGCGATTTTATAGCGTCCGCTGGTTTAAACAGCGACCAGCGATAATGATCGAAGGCGAGGCTCTGGTTTTATTAATCGGCCAGTTCGTAAATAAGCTCCGCTACGAGATTCCGTTGCCTCCACGTCCGAGGCAAGATCGATTCGTCCGTTTTCCAGAAACAGAAATGCTCGGAGAAACGGTTTCACGTGGGACCGACAAGATTCTATCTTACGGAACGAACCAGCATAATGTCCTCGAGGAGTCCTTAAGGTCGTCAGCTGACCGCAGACTCCTTGGAACAATGCAATCGTCCAATGTTACTACATATAGAATACTAGCGATTAATCTGATCATTTTTATCAATTACACTCTTAAGTATATTGAATTTTTTGCAATGTTAATATATTTTCATTTGGTTCCTCGTTTTAACAATGGGGTTCAACTGATCGGCATTAAAGAGAAACGTGATTACCGCACCGGTACACCACGAACCCTGACCCAGGTCGTTTGCGAAAGAGCAAGGAAGGGGGGGCGATATCGTGTTGGTGGCTGGCTCGAATAAAGTGTGCGACAACGCAGGGGCGATAGAGCCGATATAATCCGATTTTACGAGGCGGCTGCGAGAGAAAAGGATTCGAGAGAAAGAGAATGGAGAAGAAAGAGGAGGAGAGATAAGGTTGATCCTATCTCGACCCCGTGCTGCTCTCTGGCCGAGCGATATAAACTTAGACGCGAATTAGTGGAATCGCGCAAGCCGATACCATCTCATTTCGGTCGACCCAGCGCGAGTAACGCCATAGGAAATTTATCGGGAAATTAAATTACGAATTATGCTAATCCGACCGAATAGCCCGTGCACGATTCCCTCCTCCGTCGATAGGGGGAGGAATAATATGCTGGATGTTTCAAACAACGCGGGACAGACGTCGTTGTCTCGTTCGACGGTACCGACAGATATGATCGGACATCATAGCTTCTAACCTTCGTCTTTTTCTTCATTCATCTACAGCAGTGGTCTTTATACACGAGAAAATGCGGCGCTGAGACAGCGCCACCCACCGATCACCGATCACCCCGCCAATAATACTCTTCCCTCCTGTGTCATTGCCGTCGATGAAAGACGACGCTCGAATATGCTACGATAAAAGAAATTACGACAAACTCTACCCGACGGTATGCACGGCGTGTTTAAGGGTGTTATTAATTTCCACCAACGTGTCGAACGATTCACGGTTGAGGCAACTCGGGTATCCCGTCGTGCCCACATGGTCACTCGTTCGTCCCATTTCTTCCCCGTTCCACGTTTATTACACACGATTTTTACTTGGAGATATCAACAATGTCGTTTCTTCTCGTTGCCATGATTTTCTTGATGTGGTTGGAACCTCGAAAGTTTATTCGGGTACCCGTGTCATTTCGGGACTCTAATTCGACTTGAAATCCTAAACTCGATTAAGGAGTCGTCGCTGCATTCGAGACAAGATTTTGCACACCCCCACTGTTTAGGATCATACAAGAATGAAATTTTCGAGGGTGTGAATAAGTGTAATACCGCGTCATAAGAATGATCTTTAACGCGACGTCTCGCGAGAGCTTCGTAGATCCCGTTTACCTTAGGGATGAACCTAGACAGAGGGCAAAGAGCAAGTAAGACGAGCGAAAGCCGGCTAAAAGCCGAGCCAAGAGATCTGAGATTTCGGCTTCTATTCTGGTCGGAGATGCGATCCGATTGCGCTCGTCGTCGCGTTAGAAACGCGAGACAATATTATTAGACTCGTTAGAAAAGCAAAGGAAAGAAAGCGACACCCCTCTCGCGTCTGCGACTGCTTGTTCAGCAAACACCTATGAGGATATTCGAAAGGGTCGATTTTTATAACGAAAAATTAAGAGATTCTGCGTTAAATACTTGTCGCCGACGGCAAAGCTGGATATTGGTCGAAACCAATGGAAGAAAGTTGACTTCCGCTTTCATGGATCGAATGGGCACGGTATTATCCTCGAAGGTACCATGCAAACAAGCAAGGGGGATGGTTTCAGGATTACTCGAACGTCGAGAAGGCAGGAAGGCAAACCTTCACCGCGGATGAAGAAGCCGGTTAGGACACAGAGCAAATTGAACATCGGTTAGCTAGTTTGTCGGGAGGGATTTTCCTCCGAGAAAAAAAAAAAAGCCCCGTTGCTCTATCCAGCCTGCCCGGCAGGTGAGCACGAAGAAGGGACTTTGCCCGGCAGCTGATTCCATAAACAGATAGGAAAGAATTTCTTCGGCCTAAAATAATGGGGATGCAGCCTACCGTGTACACAACGCCTCTGTTTACAAACTTCGAGCTCACCTCCTTTCCAGGATGGTCAAGCTTTATTTTCTCTTTTACCTGAACACTACCCCTCCGCTAAATCAGACGGTTTCGCAGTTTCAGGAGAAAACATCTTCTCTACTAATACTGACTCCCTTGGTGTCTGTTTTACTCGGAGTTTATCAAAACTAGGCGTGATAAGCAACTCTCTTATTGAAAAACAAATGTCTTAAAAATAAGAAATAAAGAGTATTCATAGTCCTTCAGTTATCGACGTTTAGTTTCCTAATCTTAGAACACTAAAATTCCTTAAATCGCAGGAGCTCTAACATTCACCAAATGCTACATGCCTTTATATATACTTTATTAATAAATCTACACGATAAATCACGTTTAGCCATTTATCTGAATTCTTTATCTCGCTCCCGATCAATTTGCATATATTTTCGATAAAATAAAGGTCGCGCACTGGGTGTTCCTCCACGATCCTCGCTTAGATTAAATCTGTTTCACGCGATGGAATCGATCAACCGCTCATTGACATAATCATTAACCAAAACTTTCGTGTGGGGTAGGACGGTATCCTTCGAGTTTTATCTTCTTGCAAGAAGAATCTGAATAACAGGGGACAAGCCACGTGTTCGTTCGTTTGTGTAACACGCTCATCATAGACCGAGGAGGACTACCGAGTGGCAGGTTCAACGTAATCCGGATTAAAGAATTCCGAAACACCAAAAGCGTTTTAACGCTTCGGTCCTGTTATCTGACCGAGAAGTTGCGCGTTTACCTGCTGCGATTTTTATCTGTCAATCATTTAACAACCGGCGAATCGAAGATCAATCGATGATTGATATTCATTTTATAATCACAATGTGAATTCAGCGGAATTTGAATTCTAAAAAATTCAACTCTCTTATTTATCGAATGTTGTTACACAAGATGCCAGCGTGAACTTAATTAATTTCCTTATAATTAATCGGCAGCGAGAAGGGATTCTCTGATCTCCCTATCTCTCCCAACTGAACGTACTAATTCGACGGTGTCGTTCAAATGCAAATCTCTAGCGACCGGTAAGATTAACGAGGCGATAATTAGGAAAGTAGCATAGAGT